GTGTCTGACTCTGCGACCCCATGGATGGTAGCCTACCAGGCTCCTCCGTCCATGGGATTTTCCAAGCAAGAATACTAGAATGGGTTGCCATTTCCTTCTCCAGGAGATCTTCCCAACTCAGGGATTGAACCCGGGTCTCCCGCATTGTAGGCAGACACTTTACTATCTGAGCCACCAGGAAGTCAATGACAGAGAGTGGGTAAAACCTACACACAGAGGAATTAAACATAAACCTACACACACACTGACGAACAATTCTTGAGTTAAACCATGTAGTCAAAGCAGAAATTATAAACTTCTTAGGAACAAAAGATGGGAATCGTTCAGTCACAAAGTCATGTCCAACCCTTCATGTTCCTTGTTCTCCTTCCTACCCAACCCCTTTCTCTGTCACTCGCCACATTTGATCTAATATATGCATATTCAGAAAATAAGTCACTTTTACTGATCACTGTTTTATTATTTTCAAGCTATGTATTACATACCTAGGTTGTGATGCGAGTGACAGAGAGAGGGACGAGGGTTGGAAGGAGGAAGAAGAAAAAACAAAAAACCAAACAAGGCCAAGAACGCAAGGGGAAGAAAAAAAAAAAGAGAAGGTGAACACAGTGAGAGGTGCTATGTGTAACTTTAACCAAAATATTTAAAAACGTAAAGTGGATGTTTCTCAAAGTTAAAATAAATTTGGCTCAACAAATGAGCAGAACACTTAAACACACCAGTGATTTTGGAAGAAACTGGAAAAAAATAGCAAAAGATTAGGCCCAGATGGCTTTACAGGTGAGTTCTACCAATATTCAAGGAAAAGGTAAATCCTGGGTACCAATGTTTTTCCAGGATAGTTAAAAAAAAAGTAGAAGTGCTACCTGACTCATTTCCCAGGTCCTTTATCCGACCCTGACAATGATATCACAAATGTTAATAAGAAACCAACCAACCCTAAAGCACATTCTCACAGAGAAAAACCTCTAGCAAAATATGAGCCAGTCTATTCCAGAAAGTTATTGAAAGAAAAATTCAGGATCTTTCCACAAGGAAAACATATCAATGTGATGTGTTAAAAAGTCTCATACAGACACACATAACAAGAAGATGTGAAGTTGAATGTGACAAGTCTCTAATACATACCATTAAATGAAAACCATATTTTTGTAGGAAGCCATGTAATGATATGGAATAGGACCAGTGTGACAACATTTACCTAAATACACAGCTACAGTGAACAGTGTAGTGCCATTTATGTAAAAACATACACACACACAAAAGAAATTATATACTTCTTTGGATATATATATATATGTTATTAATAAGTTTGGAAAGAACCTTCCAAATTTATGACTTTGCTTACTTCTGGGGAGGGAACAAAGGTTGGGGCTGAAAAACCAAGGTATCTTTCATGTTATCTCTATGTTGGAATTTTATTTATTATACGAATATGTTCCTTTGGCAAATAAAAAAGAAAGCAAATTCCAAAAAGGAAAAAAAAAAGTTGAAATCATACAGAGAGGTAGATACATGATTCTTTAGCCTGGAATAATTGAAAGCAGACAGAGTCATTTCAAGGCAGCTTCTTCAGAACAGCAACCGTTGCGGTTTGAAGGAGGAGCTAGTCCATTACGTATTACTGACAAGGCTGAAGACTGATGGAAGCGTGAAGGGCATGCTAACCAGCCCAGATGAAGTGAGAAGCTTCCTATGGAAGGCCAAGGCGGACAAGCCACATCACATCTGGTGGGAGAAGACAGTCCATCTGTGAGGGGGCGGGTCCCTGTGTGTCTCCCACAGTGACTGTCACTGGTCTCTTCTTCTCTTTCACATCTCTGTTCCTCCCCATTTGCCTCTGTGTCTTTCCATGCCCGTTTTTCAGAGTCGACTCACACAGCCTCTTCATCCAAGGCAGCATGGAGGCAAGCTTCTAGTGTAATGGTGTGTGTTCCTGCCTTTCACATCCTGAAACAGGTCTGCAGAGAGAAACAGACCTGCAGACCCCCTCAGGCTGTCGTGGGTGTGTTGTTCAGTGACCTATAATAAGATGAGTTAACTACAGGGACCTAAGTATCAGCATTAAAGTCAGATGAAAATACAACATGGTGGCCTCCCTGGTGGGCAAAACACCTCTCCTCTGCAAATCTCTAGGTGTTCTATGATCTCTCCACTCCTGCCAACCATTCCTTTCAATACTTCCTTTGTTTTTATTTTAAAGGGAATAGCAACAAGAAGCTTTTGATATGAAAACCTCCTACTGAAAATGAAAATGAAAAGATAGCTTTTATCAACTTACATCATCTTTCATTGGTTTAACTCTGGTTCTCCCAGGATCTTTTCAGTCAAAGGGCACACAGCAGACATTCTCAGTGCAGATGTTTCTCTGATTTTACTACTATCCTTACTACTTAAATATTCATGTCTACCTGGGATACTAATTTCATTATAAAGGTCTCACTGTGTGAAGGGCATTGGTAGGGCTAATGGTAAGAGGAGGGTAATTTTGACCTTGATCTTGAAAGAGGTTAGCAGTGGAGGTAGGAGCTATTTCACTGCTTGCTTTTTCAGAGCATGCAAATCCTAAACAAAGAGAGGTACTTTCGAAAAACAACACTGGAATATCCTTAATTTTCCCAATTTTAAATGAGACTGGGGAGAGGGGGCTGCCCCTTGCAGTCTGAAATACCTCCTTGGGCATAAGTATGACCTACAGACCAGGAAACACTGACCCAACCAGTTGTGTTTGACAGCAGTTTGATCCAGATAACTGATTTTTTAAAGGGAATAAATGAAGATATGTGTCACAGTTCAACTGACTCCACAAAAGTTAAAAGGACAAATAGCTACTTCTTTTAAAAGGCAGGGAGGGAAGAACTGACCACTCTTTAACTATGTCCTTTGTGCAATGATCTCCAACCTCCACCCAGAGGTAACTGATATAAAACAAAACCCAAAATGCTTGTACTGCCACCCCAAAGGACCCTCTCCTCCAATTCTCCGGCTTGCCTTGTAAGGCCTTACTGAGAAGACACTACAAGGTTCATTGTCTCCTGGAAGAACACCACCTCACCCCGACAGAGCCCACAGGAAATGGTCCTTCATAAGGAACACGGGAAGTGAGGGAGAATTTACACAAAGGATGGGATGTGTAACTCGGTACCTTTTCCAGAGTAAACACCTTGAGCGGCTACTGGAAGGAGGCCAGCGGGCCTTTAAATAGCCTCATTGTTTCTCAGTACTTACGCAACTGGGAAGGATTAGCTGTCACACTGCGGTAGAGGAAAAACCTCCCTGGACTGCAGGGATAGGACTAGTGAGAAGGGGAGCCCCAGAAGACCTTGTTTCTGAGCAAGTGGTACAGAGCTCCATCTAAAGAAGATGACGAGAGAAGGAAAGCATCAGTGGGGAGGCCCACCAGGGGTTCAGGCGGGCTGTGGGAGCCCAGAGACTCAGTAGGATATGCCTGCCCTTCACCCATGAAATGACCTCCCATCCCCTCATCCATTCAGCTGGGACGAACCAGGCAAGGAGAGCTGCCCCACATCTCAGATCTGCTGTCTGATCTCTTTGACTAGACCTAGAGGGTGGTCTTCAGAACTTACCAGACCACCTATCCCAGGTATACTGGCTGGATTATGGAGTCACCGCTGCTCCTTTATGGCAGCTGGGTCAAAACTTCAGCAAGTCGTTTTTTTGTTTCTGGACCTATGTCTCATGTTCTGTAGAGAGCAGACAGTGGATGTCCATGAAATCAGGTATATTTAAGGAAGGTTCTGGGTATGTCAGGCTGAACTGTGGCCCCCAAATGACCCCTGTATCCCAGTCTCTGAAACCTGTAAATGTTCTTTTATGGCAAAAGAGGACTTTCCAGATGTGATTAAGTTAAGGATCTTAAGGGTGGAGAGGTTCCCATGGATCGTCCATCTTTCCAGCCGGCCTGAAATGTTGTCATAAGTCCTGACAAAAGCAAAGCAGAGGGAGGTTTGACAGGGGCAGAGGGGAGGCCCTGCAACCACGGAGACGGAGATGGGAGTGATGCAGCCACAAGCCAAGGAGTGACGGCAGTCCCCAGGGCCTGGACAAGGAAGAGATGGATTTTCCCCTTCAGCCTGCGGGGGGCATGTCCTGCAGCACCTTGAGTTTAGACTTCTGGCCTCTAGAACTATGAAAGAATAAATTTCTGTTGCTTTCAGCCACTAGTTTGTGATAATTTTTTTAACAGCAGCCCAAGGAAACAAGTACAGTGGGCCCACTGAAGCTGGGCATATTTCCTAAAAGGCTTACTTAGCAAGTTGCCAAATCAGTCTGAGAAGGAGAAGGCACTGCTCTGCCTTGAAGAGACGAGCATTCAACATATATTTGTTCAACTGAATCAAGGAAAGTAGCATAGAATGTCATCTAGAAATGAATTCAGATAACTTCTGTTTTTCTATTCCAATGACCCTTTGAAAAGTACTTCCACAGGATATCTTTCCCCATGATCCAAATGCCCTTTAACAATTTGCACCTCAACAATAAATACAAACTTTAAATAAACCTGCAGATTCCCCCAAGTCAACCAAGACATTTTCCATTTTTGTGCTTCTATTCGTGAACAAATGAATGCATTTGTAAAAGCGTCTGCTTGCACTTGATAACATAGCTTTCAAGTAAACAAAAATGCACCGAGGCTCAGTTACGGGTTTTCTTAAGGGAAATGTTCATCTTTTACCTTCTACCTCCAATAAAAAAGTTTCATAGAGAATTAATCCCTTCCCAACCCAACCATATGAAGTGAAGTGAAGTGAAGTCACTCAGTCGTGTCCAACCCGGCGGCCCCATGGACTGTAGCCCACCAGGCTCCTCCGTCCATGGGATTTTCCAGGCAAGAGGACTGGAGTGGGTTGCCATTTCCTGCTCTAGGGGACCTTCTCAACCCAGGGATTGAACCCGTGTCTCCCGCATTGTAGGCAGACCCTTTACTGTCTGAGTCACCAGGAAAGTCCTATCCAACCATATAAATCCCATCAAACCAAATAAGCCATGGCCTTAAATGAACCCATGTTGACAACAATCAAGGCTGTTTTCCAGAACTCAAAAGGTCTCTTGAATCTGTTAAGCATATTTCAATGTCCTGTTCTTCAAACTTTAAATAAGGTAATCCTTTTATTTCTAAAAATCGATGGGCAGCTACAGCAGATGATTCAGAGCCTTTAATAAATGGTCTTACTTCAAGTAAGAATTTAATTTGACACTGATATATTGCATCATTAATGACAATTTCCCTATTTGCTAAAAATATCTCCGTTTATCATCAAGGCATTAAATAACCTTTTTGAAAAGCATATAAAGGGTGCAGGACTAAGAAAATGATAATAAGCAATGCTGCTGAGGGTTGGAGGTGAGAATTCTTATATAGTTTGATGACAAACAACTTTTCATACATTTCTATAGGCTTGAAAATGTATACAAAATCTATGTACAAAAATACATTCTCCCTGTTCTGCTGTTTAAGGGAGAAAAAAATTATATGAGCAACAAATAAGCAATTGGTAAAATATACAATAGTATTTAAGTATTCTATGTCCATTAAAAATAATGCTTTCAATGAATTGTTCTTTGCTGAACAAGAGTATACTTAGAAGCGTTTCCAAAAATATTCACAACTCTTGTCAAGCAAATACAAATGTTCTCAACATATCATTAAGCAAGCAAAAAAGCTGCATACAGAATAGTTTGTAAGTATGATCCAAATTTTTATGTCTTATATTTTAATACATATTCCTCACACAAACAAAACACACACTTTAATAGTAGAAAAAGACAAGCAAAATATACGCCAAAATAAAAACAGCAGTTACATATTGCAGAGACTGAATTTTAGGTGATTTTTATTTTCTTTAATACATTCTGTATTTTAAAATATTTAGAGTGACTATAATTTTTATATTCAAGAAAAATGTTCTTAAAAGTAAAGAGATGACTGGAAAAATCTTATTTTTCTCACATAAGTCAATTTTTAAATTATGTCCATGTTTTCCACCAGAATTTCTGGCAAGAATAAATAGCAGGAAGCAACTAATAAACAAAGCTGTAAAACATTCTCCTTTTCCTTTCAAGACTTAGGATGTTCACTGCACATCAGGAGTCTCACATATACCAGTTATACCTGATTCTGAGGAAAGAGTTACTTAATAATAATGACTGAAGCTTGGGTATTAACTCTGGAACTTATATGACACTTATGTTTGGAAATAAAGCAGATTATGGTGATACTGGGTTTAGTCTTTAAGGAATTCTAAACTACAAGAAACATAAGGCCTTTACATCTATTAAATTCATCATAAAGATATAAAAACATAGAAGTAATTTCCAGGTATTTGTAAAAGACACAAATTGAATAGGAATAAGATAAAAACAGCAAATATCTGCTTTGGTCTCTTTCTCCCCTGCCCCAACAATAATCATACTTACAAAACAAATGTCACTTTCTTAAAATTTAATAATCACAAAATAAGTGAAAAAAATGTTAAAATGAATTGTCTTTCTCAATTTAATTAGGTGATATTGATATTTATAATTATAGCATAGGGTTCATTAAATCAGAATTTTACAAAACATGTCTAAAAGATGCTTGTTTAGCTGAGATATTTAGGATCAACTTCATCTGAAGATAATTAATAGCTGTTAATATATAAATCCTTCTGTAGTGACCAGGTTTTAAGGCAATTGAAATGCGATGAAGTATATAGTTTCCCAAGAAAAGAACTAATTTGTTTTAAAAGACTGGCTGTTGGTTATCTGCCTGCAGCAGTTCCCTTGGAAATGTCTGTTGGGTTCATACGCCAGCCCTCCAAGATCCTCTTGAACGTGTAAAGTGGCTGAAATTATGTTAAAAGTAGTTGTTTATAACTGAGGTTCTCTGCCCTGAGAGTGTCTTGCTATTTATCTCTTCTCTGTGGCTAAGTTTCTCTGAAGGACTCAGCCACAGGCCTGAGTTTAGGAGCCAACACTGATGAAGGAAAACTCCATGCAGAGTTTGCGAGCAGCAAGTGTGAGCCTTCGGAGGTGTCAGTTCCTCGATGTTTAGTAAGTCCTTGGCTTAACGGCATTCTGTGTGATCTTTCAGAAACATATCATGATTTTTGTGGCAGTGAATTATAGACATGTCTGCTAAAAAGATTTTGTTTGACAGGATGCAAGATAAATCAAGCTTTGTTTCCAGGTGGAGGGAGATAAAACTTAACTGTTTTTCTCTCTGACTTCATGGTATAACACAACTATCTTAGTAAGACTTTTTTGGTAAACATATAAAAATTCTGCGAAGTAAAGGCATCTTATTTCTTTTATGCTTCTGATATAAAGAACCTCTGTTTTTACTGACTAAGGTAGTACAGCAAACAGCAGAAATTATTTTATTACTACTGAGTATTTAAGATCAACAGAGTTAACCTCAAGAGCCCTGAGAAATACAACAGTCAGTCTTGAGAAATAAGACAACTCGTCAAACCTGGGGTATATGTAAATAAGTGGCTGGATTCTCCACGTCCCCACCAACCCTCTTTCAAGAGGAGAAGAATTTGTCCCTGTTTTCAAGACCAGAACTAATAGAATGTATGGTAGATGTGAGCAGTTCACCATGAGTAGACACTCCCCGCATCCCCTGGAGTAGCAGGCATGCGCCATGAGCCATGATAAAGTTGGGGAGTGTTCAGTCTTTCTCACTTTCACAACAAGAGTTCTGATGAGGTCTGAGGCAAGAGGAAACAAAATGTCAACATGACAGATTAGGTACAGTTTTAGGTGTGAGTCATAGTTCGATTACAGAAATAATTCTCTCTCTCTTGAATCTTGTTTCACGGTGTTCTTAATTGACCAGCTAAGACAGAAGTCTGGGGCTTTGTCCTTGGAGAACCCAGGTGTACAGAGAGGGAACTAAGATCCCGCAGGGCTTGGGTTGACCTCTCCTTCAGCCTCAGTTTCTTCCTAACTGGAACACCCTTTGAGCTACTGATGGTTAAGATTTGGATAGTCAAGGTGGGGACTCAAGTCCCCTGGGGACTCCAGCCAGGAGCATAAGGCAAAGATCAAAGGTGTTGTCCTAAGAGCTTGCCTTTGATCAGTGGTTCTCTAAGCATGGTAGCAGACATCATCTGGAATTTACTAGAAATGCAGAAATCTCAGGCCCCACCTAGATCTTTTGAATCAGAAAATCAGTTAGGAGGGCCAGGTGCAGAAATCCATGGTGTATCCAAGTGACCAGGTGGTTCTGATACTAGCTAAAGTCTGAGAACAACTGCCTTGGGTCAAGTCTTCATCAAGAGAAAAAGGGCAAAAAAAGAAAAAGA